CCCAGTCCCACTCCCACGCTGGCTCCAACTCGTTTTGACTCCTTAGAAATGAAAACCTTTGCTTCTGTTAAACAGTTCAGCATCTGTTAGGAGCCTGCTGTGTCCTGTGCAGGGGCCGGGCCGGGCCAAGCCAAGAGCAAGGACCTACCAGAAGCCCTGGGGGTGCGGGGCGCTCACTGCCGGCCCCGCTCAGCCCTCCGGGGCCCTGTGTGACGGGCGCTGCGTCTGTCCGTCCCGTCCTACGGGTGACAGGCCCCAGGCTGCAGAATGGCCGGGCTGGGATTAGACCCGGGACCTTGAGCTCGGGCCTGAGGGCGGTGGAGCAGGTGGTTTTAAACGGGGCCACACTCGGCTGGGGGCAGGTGGCTTCGGGTCCTTCTGGAAAGACCACGAGGAAGGAGGCTGTGGCTGGAGGAGACGCCGGGGCTGGGGGGGCAGGAGCCGAGGAGATCGAGGAGGCCACTCAGACAGGTCAGGCAGGCCAGTGGGGGGAGGGGGGTGCAAAGGGGTGCCCCCACCCCCAAGGAGCCAGCGGCCACGCCCTGCCCGAGTCCAGCGCTGGCACTCGGCACAAGGCCCGGCCCCAAGAACCGGATACCAGCCTGGGCTTCCTGTCTGCCCCGGGCTCACTTCTAAGGCGACATCACAGGCAGGAGGCAGGGAGTGGGATGTGTCACCTCGGGGCCGCGGCCTGTGATGTGGTCTGCCTTTTCTGACGCAGATGCTGTTCCTCTCCATGACGGCAGACGAGCCTCTGCTGCGCGGGCCCAGCTCGGGCCGGCCTGATGTGGCCGCACCCCGCAGTCCCCGGGGCTCCCGCGAGCCCCCAAGGACGGGCCCAGACGGCTCTGCAGCTTCCTCGGCGCCGCGGGGGCCAGCGGCTGCCATGCAAATGATGGGGTTTCTCTATTGCTTGAAGATGGTTTCCAGCTGTGTAGGGGTCTCGGGGGTCCCGCAGGCGCCTCCGCCCTCCCACGGCTGCACCTCCGCCCCTGGGGCCCTGGAGGCCCCCCGGGACAGCCATGCACCCGCCCGTGCCTTGTCACTCAGTGTTCCCAGGGGAGTCCTGTCCCTCTCGGGAGCAGGACAACAAGGCATGAAACCGTCCGAGGACACGGAGCAGACGTGGCCGTGACTAGCTGCTGTCTGCGCCTTGCTGGCTGTCTGTTCTGGGACGTACTGTCGAACCTCCGGAAGCCTCTATTTCTGCATCCCTAAAATGGGGTAACATTGACGACTTACGTCGGTGCGGGGATAAACGAGAGGACGCACGAGGTGCCCAGTGCCGTGTGTATACGGCGGGTGTTTATCCTGGGTCCGTGCCCCCACCCCCATCTTTCTGACTCTGTGAACAGGGTAGGTTCGAGGGGCACATGCTACTCCCCAAAGTCCGAAGCTTCTCCCTGGAGCCCCTTCCCTCCTCCTCCCCTCCCTGCCCTCTCCCTGCACGCAGGGGCGCTCCCCAGGGAGCCTGGGAGTGCAACCGCCTTCCCCACGATACTAGCATCTAAGCTGGGGGGGGGTCTCCAGAAACTCAAAAAAGCCTTGACAAACCCCAAAGACATTGCACGCGTGGTGGCAGGAAGAGCAGAAGGCTCCGTCCCCCGTTGCAGAGCTTTCAGAGGACAGTGTCCTGCGGCAGCCGCGGCTTCTCCTTCCCCTGCTCGGCCTTCCTCTCTCTCACTGTCTATTTATAAATAGGAGAAGGGACTGAGGGCCACCACCTTGGGGTACATTCGGGGCCGGGGCCCCACTCCTGGAGCGGGGAAGACGGGAAGTCATCTGGTGCAGGGTTGCCCAATTGCCCAAGAGAGCGCTGACTCAGCCTCCAGAATCTGCCTTGCAGGGCTGCCCGGCTGATGGCCCTGGTGGCGCGGCCACCTTGCCTGGTGCTTCCTCCCCTGCCTCCCGGTGCCGGTGCCGCTGCTGTGGTTTCGGCTCCTCCAGGAGGGGAGGGGCCGCCGCGGGGACAGGCCGTCCCGCTGGCCAGGAGCGTGGTCTGGCTCTCTGTTTGGCCCTGGCAGGTTCTGAGGCTCGCTGGCCGTCAGGAGCTCACAGCCTTACTACTGCCCCTTATTCCGGACACTGTCCTCTGGCCACTTAATCGCCCTCCAGGCCCTGGCTTTTGGCCACCCAGCCAGGCTCTTTGTTTGGGGTCCCGTCGCCCCTGCAGGTGTTCCCCTTGAGTGAAGCCCCGTTTGGGACGACGCAAGGCCACTGCCCCCGGGGGCTCTGGCCCGTGGGACCCTCCTCTCTGCCCCAGTTGGGCTTCCAGCCACTGTCACGGCAGCTGGCCTGCCACCGTCTCCTGACTTCGGTCCTCGAGGAGTAGGTCAGTGTGGGTGGCCCTCCAGCTCCTAGGGTCACAGGTCAGCCTCCCCACACTTGGCCTCAAGGTGGGCGGGGACCCCCTCCTTTACGGGGCAGCATCTAGCACCGCGCTGGCCCCGCACAGCTTGCTGCCCAGTCTTGTCCTCGCCTTGTCCATTTTCAGCTGAAACCAAGCAGAAGGAGCGGTTCTAATAGTCTGTCTGACACAAGTCTACCACTTGGGGCCTGTGCAGACCTGAGCGCTCCCCCAGGGGTCCCCGGACCCTGCCTGTGCTCCTCCAACAGCCCCGGGAGGAAGCAGGGCAGGGCCTTGTGTCACCATTTTACAGGTGACGGTGTTGAGGCTCAGAGAGGGGGACACCCACACGTCCCCCAGGACCAGCGCACACCCAGACCCCCTCCCGGGATGCCGGGGGTCTGCACCTCGGGTCCCTCTGCTCCCAGAGGCCACTTGCACAGGTTGCCCTCACCCCGGGAAAGGAAGGAGGGGCAGGGGCTGGGGCCTCCCTGGGCCCCAGCCTGGCCTCACACCCCGGCCCCACCCCCCAGCTCATTCAGCCTTTCCGAGGCCTCTCGGGCCACCCACTCACCACCCGGTCCTCTGAGGTCTGGGAGGGGCCTGAGCCTTCTGACCAGAGCTGGAAGGGGCTTAGAGCACCCGCCAGGCGCAGGTGCCGTTGCCAGGCCAGGAAACAGGCGCAGAGAAGGCGGGCCCCCGCCCACCTGAGAGGGGTGCCTGAGGGGGACGGGGTGGGGGCACCCGTGGGTGGGCCTAGGGGGTTGAAATCCAGTCTTCCTGGGGCGGAGCACGCAGGCACCGTGATGCCAGGGAGGAAGCGGGCTGGAGGCCAGGAGGCCCTTGAGGCAGTTTCCCTGAGCTCACAGGTGGGTGCGGGCCAGAGGGGCGGGGCTTGGGGGCAGCTCTGCGCCGGGCCCGGGCCCGGGGTGGCCTGGCCTCCACCCAGCATGGTCCCCACGTCCTGGCAGGCGGCAGGGCAGGGGCGGGGTGTGCGCCGCTCGCCCCTGACTTCGTGCAGCGTCACTGGGAGGCTGGTCCCCGCCCCTCTGGGCCCCCACGGTCTGCCCGCGCCTGGCACGCGGCTCCTGCTCTGGCACGCGGCTCCTGCTCAGCTGTGCCTTCGCCCTGCCGCCCGCCCCGCCCTGCCCCTGCCCGCCAGGGGGGAGCCCCGGCTCAGGTGGCAGGTGTCCCACGGGCTGCAGCTGCGGAAGACCCGCCTGTACCGAGGCTCCTGGGGGGGTCACCTGGGAAACAGGCCGGAGCTGAGGGCAGAGGACGGGGCCTGTGGCGATGATGTGTGCGTCAGAAACGGAGCCCTATGGGCTCCTTGCTCAGGGCTCCCTGCTCAGCGGGGCGTCTCCCTCTCCCTCTGCCCCCCCCCCTCATGCTTTCTCTCTCTCTCTGTCTTTATCTCTCAAATAAATAAATAAAATCTTAAAAGAAAAGAAATCAAAGGAAAGAGCCCGAGTTAGAGACCCTGTGTGCCCGGTGAGCCAGGGCCCCAGTGCCTGCTGGGCGCGGAGGTAGATGGACGGGACGTGGCGCCGCAGTGACCCCAGGACGAGGGTGTCGCTCCGTCTGCAGTCCTGAGGAGGAGACCAGAGGTTCCTCCAGCGGGACCAGGACGAGAGGCACGAGGCACGACCCAACTCCACCCCAGCCTTCTTGGATGACCTCAGACAAATGGCATGACCTCCCTAAGCTCCCCACCTGCCCTTGGGGTGGAGGTAGGTTCCATAGCCCTGCACCCGGGCCGGCACATAGTAGGTGCTTACTGAATACCCCGCGGTTGGTCTTCCTCCAAGGGCCAAAGCAGAGAACCCGGAAGAGTGATGGAGGCCACACGTTTGGGGGGGCCCTGAGTCTGTGTCACGGGAGAAGGGAATGGCCTAGAACTTGTGGGAGACCAAGGAGGTGGCTTTGCTGCTTTCCATCCCTATTTTGCACATCAGATGTGCCTCATACATTGTATGTTAGATGGGCCCTCCCAACCCCCTCCCCTCCTCCCCCCTCCCCCCCTCCCCCCTCCTGTCCCTCCCTTATCTCCCTCCTATCTCGCCCTCCCCTCCCTCCTCTTCTCTCCCCTCTCTAACCTCTCCCTCCCCTCCCTCCTTTCCTCCTTCTATCCCTCTCTCCTTCCCTCCCTCCAACCTCTCCCTCTCCTCCTCTCCTTCCCTTCCTCTCCCTCCTCCCCTCCCCATCCCCTCCCTCCCACCTCTCCCTCCTCCCTCCCTCCCTCCTTCTATCTCTCTCTCCCTCCCTCTTTCCTTCCCTCCAATCTCTCCCTCTCCTCCTCTCCCTCCCCCCTCCTCCCCCCTTCCCCTCCCTCCCTCCTCTCCCTCTCATTCACCCATCCCATCCACCCGCCCACCCCTCCCCTTCTCTCCCCATCACCACACTGGGTCACATCGCCTGCCAGTTAAATGAGTGATTAACAGTCATCAGTGATTTCCAGATTTTTACCTGAAACCTTGTATGTTGAAAAATGGGGTTTGCTAAACTGCTGAGTAAATTGAGTACTATCCAATTTATTTCCTCATTTTAAAATGTCAGAGCTGCCGTGTGGGTGGGTGATCTGTGGGTCTGAGTCCCCGCAACAGCAGCAACAGCAGCCGAGGGATAGAGAAGCTTCCACGCCCCTGTCCCCAGAGCCGGCTGCCACCTTGTGGGGGCCTGGAGGGAGGTGGAGGTGGGCGCGCCGGGCCCCAGGCCCCCCCCCCCAGGCCGCTGCGGGCTCCACAGGGCGGGGAGTGACCTTTCGTCCCGCTCCTCTGCTCCGCGAGGGGCTTTCTGTTCCTCATTGTTAAGCCGTGACGGCCGCGGTTGGCTTTGTTTCTCTTCTGTCCAAGAGGATCAACAGGCCTGGAGGTTGCTCAAAGGGGGGCTGACCCGGGCGCCAGCACGAGGAAGTGTCGGGAAGGATGCTCAGTACAGAATCTACAGGAAGAGACCCTCGAGGGGAGGCTCGGCCGTGGGGGGCGGTGGGGGGCGGGAGCAGGGCGGCAGGGGCTGGGGGGTGGCGGGAACCCTTGGGGCAGGGAGCGCAGCCTTGGCCGCCACGGGCGGGCCCTTTCCCGGCAGGACTTTGGACCCTGACAGGAAATCCTCCCCCTCCGGCGGGACAGGCCTGGGGCTGCGCAGGAGCTGCTCTGAGGGTCGGGCTTCTGGGGGTTCTCGGCCCCACGTGAGCGCCGCCCCTGCAGTGGGAGGGGCCCCCCTGCGCTCGGGGCTGCCCCCCACCCTTGGTACCAGGGAGCGGGTGACCCGGGGCACTGCAGAGGGTGGGACCTCTGTGCCCAGGGCCCCCAGCGCTTGCTGTCCGTGGGGGTGGGTGTTGGGTGTCGGGTGTCCGGTGTCGTGTGTGCCGCCAGGGGGCTTCTTTGCTTGTTTTCTGTCCGTGGTTGACTCAGGGCTCCTGGGCCCCGGGTCTGGGGCACTGCCGGTGCCTCACCCCGACGGCGGTGCCCTGAGCCCACCGGGGGGCTGTGGACGTGTGTGCACACCCGCAGCCACGGGCATGGATGTCCCCTTTCTAGGCCCTGTGTCGGCAGCAGGGTGCCTGCCACCGTCGCCTCCACCTGTGCCTTCCCGGCATCACCGTGGGGGCTTTGGCGCCGGACCTGGGCCGGAGGTGGGTCGGGGAGGCCGCTGCCGGGTGCCCCCCAGGAGGGGCGCCGCCCTGGAGCCACCATGCCCGCGGGGGATCGCGGACTTGCCCCCACCCTGCAGGCTCACAGGGCACCCATGGGGGGCGCAGCCGGTGTGCCGGGGCCCTGGGGGAGGTCCGGACTCGGGCTCCCAGGTCCTTCGGGTGGGCCGTGGGCTGGGGAGGCCGCGTCACAGACAGAGATGGGCTGTTGTCAGAGGAGGCCTTGGGGCAGAGGCCTGTGGGCCGGGAGGCCCAGCCCTGGGGGGGCGGCCGGTACAAGGGGGCCGAGTGGGCTGCTGTAGCGCCCGCGGGCTAGAGCCCCTGGAGCGCTTGGACCCGCACCTGGCACCGCACACGTGCTCACGCGGGGGACCCGTCATTGCTGTCCCCGAGAGCAGTCGTCTGCTGGGCCCCAACCCTGTGCTGCGAGCCCTGCATTGGAGTCTGAGGGCCTAGAGATGCTGGGGCTGAGGTTTGCGTGCCTGCCTCGAGGGTGTTTGCGGTGCGTGCATGCGTGTGCAGGCACATGCGTGTGGATGTGTGCACACAAGCACGGGGGCCCGTGCGCCCACCTGCCCCACGTCGGAGTGAGCCCAGAGGAGGAGGAACCTGCCACAGCCTGGGGGAGTCAGGGAGGACTTCCCAGAGGAGGCAGCACTCAGTTGGAAGCACCCAGGGGCGATTCCCGGGGCAGAAGGGAATAGGAGGCATCCTGGGCGGAGGGGTGCTTTGTGCCGAGCACCGTGGTCCTCTGCGGCTGAAGCCACTGCCCTGTGGGCAGCGTGGGGGCCTCACATCTGTCCCCTGGAGTGTTGGGAGCCGCCCCGGGCTCCGGCCAGGGGCTCAGCCACCGCTGAGGGAGGGAGAGGAGGCAGCAGAGGGTGGGGACTCTCCGCCTATCTTTCCCTCAGGGGGAGAAGCCCCCACGTCAGCGGAGCCCCAGCAGGGCCCCAGGGTGGCCGTCGGGTGGCCACGCTCATGGCTGTCCTGCCCTCCCTCTTCCAGGCTGCGCTGCTCCCCTACGTTCCGGAGCCGGGAAGCTCATGCCAGCGGAGCGAGTACTTCGACCAGAGGACCCAGAGGTGCTGCAGCATGTGTCCGCCTGGTGAGGGCTGGGCCTGTGGGGGCCGGTGCCCCGCAGGGAGGGAGGGTGCAGTCGTGGCCCTCGTGCTAACTGAATTCCTTCTGGCTCACCAGTTGGCCCCGTGCTGCCTCTCGCTGCAGGGCCTTCACCTATTCTGTTCCCTCTTCCTGGCACAACTCCCAGCTCCCTCCCCCCCGGGCTGGCTCCTACTTTTCCTTTGGACCTCAGCTTAGATGTAGCCTCCCCCAGGAAGCCTGTCCCCCCTGCCTGGTCAGATCTGGCTCCTCCTCTGAGCTCCCACTGGCCCCCCGACCCCCCCAGAGGGAGCTCTTCCACCACAGTCGTGGCCTCCTCTCCTCTGGCCTGCACTGTGGGCTCCTCTGGAACTGGGACCGTGAGCTCGTCCGCGGGATCCCGGGCCTGGCGCGATGCCTGGCACGTAGGGGTGCAGAGTGCATGTGTGGGCGAACCCGCGAGAGCCTACCCCGCACCGAGGGGGGTGCCGAGGCCTAACCCGGCTGGGAGAGCAGAGTGGCTGATTCCTGGTGACCCAGGCGCTCGTTCATTCATACGTCCACTCCCGTACTGTCCAGGAAGCATCTGCTCGGTGTCGGGCACTGGGCTACGTGCTGGCGGGACAGCAGAGAGCAGGGCACACGAAATCCTCACCCTCGTGGGCTGCGTATCTAACAGGCACAGACGAGCCAGCAGAGGAAATGCATGTGTGCTCCTACCAGAGAGACAACAAGGCAGGGGGACGCCGAGGGAGACAGAGCGGGACACGCTGTTTTATAGGCGGTGGTCAGGGAGGGCCTTTCTGAAGAGGCGACACTTGGGCAGAGACATGCAGGACGCGAGGGACTGGGTTATTCAAATATCCCGTCAGGCTGGAGAAACAGCACGTGCAAAGGCCCTGAGGTGGGGAGCCTGTCTGGTGAACTTGAGGAACGGTGAGGCCGGTGTGTTGCCCAGAGAGAATAAGTTAGCAGGGGCCGTGGTAAGAGTTTAGGTTTTGTTCTACAGAAGCCATTGGAGGGCCTTGGGGCCATTAGCCTGAGGCGCGGGTGGGCACACAGGTACCTGTCATCTCCCCCGTTTTAGGAGACCAGCAGAGCAGTGCATATGGCAGGATGGGCTCAGGGTTGGCTCTGGTGCCGTCCCGTCTCCTGGCTTGCCTTCCCTGCACGCACGCAGGAGTCCCGCGTCCTCGTCCTGGACAGGAAACCAGGGGCTGCGTTCCCACTGCTGCTGTCCTGCTGGTTCGCACCCACAGACCGAGAATTTTAGCCAACCGTAAACCAGAGAGGAGCCAGCCAGCCAGTTCTCACTCAAGTGTGATTGACTAGCAGCAGGCGGTTCCAATGATGGAATCCCAGGCATCTGGGAAGAGCAGAGGAAAAGGGCGTTTTATGAGCCTCAGGGCTTTGGAGGTGAAGCGACAGCCGGGGCCTGCAAGACGTGAGAGCCTGGTGAGGGGCGGGAGCCCTTCCCAGGAGGCCTCGGCGGCGTCAGCAGGCTGGGGGGGCGGGGCACTGACCGCGGCCCTGGCGGCCCTTGCTTTCCCAGGCTCCCACGCACGGCTCTTCTGCACCACGACCTCGAACACCGTGTGTGCCCGCTGCGAGAACAGCACGTACACCCAGCTCTGGAACTGGGTTCCCGAGTGCTTGAGCTGCGGCTCCCGCTGCGGCGCCGGTGAGCGGGCTCGGGTGGGCTGGGTCCCCGGGGCCGTTTCCACGCGCCAGAGCCTGAGGTCTGCGGGAACAGCCCTTCCCTGTGCGTGGGGGGGGGTGGGCGCAGGGGGAACCGTGCCTGGGCGCGCAGGCCGCCCCGGAGGTGGAGACGAGCGAGCCCGCAGTCTTGGGGGGGCCCTGGGCAGGGCAGGGCAGGGCCGCGGGAGGCGGGTGTGACCCTGGCTGCCCCCCCCTCTTGTAGACCAAGTGGAGACTCAGGCCTGCACGCGGGAGCAGAACCGCATCTGCGGCTGCAAGCCGGGCTGGTACTGCACGCTGAGGAGGCAGGGAGGGTGCCGGCTGTGCGCGCCCCTGCGCAGGTGCCGCCCGGGCTTCGGCGTGGCCAAACCAGGTACGGGGCCGGCGGGGCCTCGGGGACCCCGGGGGCCTCTCCTTCATGGGCGTCGAGCCATCCGCCGGGCCAGGTGTCTGCTGCCCACCAGCTGCCCTCCCCGCCCCTCCCATGCCCGCACACCGGGTTAGGCGCCCCCTGCCTGGGTGCTCGGCCTCGGGGACCCGGAGAGGGACCACGTGAAGCCCAAAGCTCCCGGAAGATCCGCTGGTGCCCCAGAAGATGGACCCACATGATCCTGGAGACCAGGAGCTCCCTAGAATTGGTTAAACAGCAGAGCGCCCAGCTGTGTGTGTGTGTGTGTGTGTGTGTCAGACGCACACGTGTGTGTTCTAAGGGGCAGAGGTGCAGACCGAGGTCCCCAGGCCCCTCACACGTCTCCTAGGGCTCCCGGGCCAGGCCCGCTTGTTCCACTGAGTTAGTGACGGGTTCCACGTTTTCTCTGAAGGAACTGCAACGTCAGACGTGGTGTGCGCTCCGTGTGCCCCGGGGACGTTCTCCAACACGACGTCATCCACAGATACCTGCCGGCCCCACCGGATGTGAGTGGCCCAGTGGTCTGGTTCTGCAGGAGCAGGGAGGGCGGCCCCCGGGCGGCCGTGTCCCGGGACCTGAAATCCCCCATCCGCTGCCTCGGGTTGAGGCAGCCGGCAGGGGTCTAGCGGCCTCGCCCTGCAGGCCAGCGCGGGCAGGCGCAGCACGGGGGCAGGCCAGGGGGTGGGGGGCACGGATAGTGCTGGGAGTCCCCGGCTGCCCTCAGTGAGCCCGGCCACGCCGAGCCCTCCTGGCCTGTGTTGTCCCGCAGCTGTAGCTCGGTGGCCGTCCCTGGCAACGCCAGCATGGATGCGGTGTGCTCACCTGCGCCCCCCACCGTGAGAACGGCCCCACGCCCCGCCTCCACGCGGCAGCCAGCGTCCACGCAGCCCCGGCCCGCGGAGCCAACGCCAGGACCCAGCACGCCTCCTCGGACCTCCGTTCTGTTCCCGGCGGTCCCCAGCCCCCCAGCCGAAGGGCTCAGCACAGGCGACATCTCGCTTCCGATCGGTAAGCCTCGGAGGGCTCGGTCAGCCTCTCGCCTCCCTCCCTTCTGTCTCAGAGTCCCCCTGAGAGCCCACTGCGGGCGGGACCTGTCGTTCGTCCTGGACGCGGCCTCTGCTGAGACCGAGACCCGGGGCTGTCACTGCTGAGAACCGCGGGTGGGGGGGGTGCGTCAGCGTTTTCTCCGCCAGGGCGGAGGGGCTCCCGGGCGCTGTCTCAGGTGGTCTCAGTAATGGGGACGGGGCTGGGCACCTCATGGGCTTTCCTCTGGGGTGAGGACTACATGGGCCGCAGAGCTCAAACTGGTGACCCCGGGGACGAATGTGGCCGACACACACGTTTAGTTTGGTGCCTGGTTTTGGGCTGGTTTGTCGTGTAATTAAATTGGAGAGCCTCCGACTGGGCTTGCCCCTCCCGTGACCCCCGGACCCCCCTGCTCACTGACTCACCTGCCCGGCCCCTGGTGCCGGCCTTCGCTGTCTGCAGCGGTCTGGTCTTGAGCTTCTCTTTTTCCTTGTAGGACTGATTGTAGGAGTGACGACCTTGGGTCTGCTGATGATAGGGCTGGTGAACTGCGTCATCGTGACCCAGAAGAGTAAGTTTTCATTCCCTCCTCTTTGATGCTTTCATCCATTTGTTCTGGAAGCTCTTCTGGGTCCTCTTGTGAGCCCAGCACTGGGCACAGCCCTGGGGGTCAGATGGAGCTGGAAACGGCAGGCCTTGGTCTGCGGAGCTCGGAGCCTGGGGCAGAAGGCACTGCCGCTAACTCACCTGCTAAGAGACACGATGCCATCAGAGCAGTCCCAGGGGGTGGCAGTCTGGGGTTCTTTTTTATTTGTTTTAAGATTTTATTTATTCATGAGAGACCCAGAGAGAGAGGCAGAGACCCAGGCAGAGGGAGGGGCAGGCTCCATGCAGGGAGCCCGATGCGGGACTCGATCCCAGGACCCTGGGATCACACCCTGGGCTGAAGGCGGGTGCTGCACCGCTGAGCCACCTGGGGCGCCCCGGCAGTCTGGGAGTCTTGTCTGGAAATCCTGGGGATCTTCCTGGGCTTCTGGGGCAGGAGGCACGTGAGCCGCAGCGGATTTCCACGGGTAGATGTGTACAGGACAGGAAGGGCACCCAGGGACGAGGGCACAGCGGGAACGAAGAGCGGGCGCTAGAGAAGTGGTTGGCGCCGCGGAGGGGCGCGGGCCGGGGCCCCCGTGTACCTCGTCCGGGGGTGATCGCCGCCCCAGGGCTGGGCCTTCTCTGAACGGCTGTGCCTGGGCCCCCTGCTCCCCCCTCCTTACTGCCTGTGTGGCCCGAGGAAGCCACTGTCCCTGACGTGACCCCCTCTCTCTTCTCCGCAGAGAAGCCCTTCTGCCTCCAGGGAGAAGCCAAGGTGGTGAGTGCTCCTCTGCCCTCCCCTTGCTCCTCCCCCTGCTCCTCCCCGCTCCCCTGCTCCCCTTCCTGCTGGGCTGGCTTGCCGTCTGGGGGAGCAGTGGATTCTGGAGATCCGCGTGTCCTGTGTCCGTGTTGGCCCTGTGGGCGGAGGGAAGGCCAGCCAGCCTGTGCTCGTCCTCGGGGTCAGGCGGCCGTCCAGGGCCGCGTCAGAGAGCGGGACACCCCCATGCTGCCCCCCCCACCCGGGTCCAGGGGGCTGGGAGGGGTTGGCCCGGGGTTGAGGGGGAGGCTGGGGTCTGGGCCCTGCGTCCTGCCCTCGCTGCCACCAAAGCTGCTCGCCTTTGATCTTCCTACGAAGTAGGGTCTGTGGGGGCTTCTGCTGGAGCCGAACCTGGGCCGTGGGCTCCTGGTCGGGGAGGCACGCCGTCGCAAGCGACCTAAAGTGGAGGGGCCCTATTTTTCTCACACTGTGGAGGGTCGAGGGGTTGCCAGCTGCAGGGACTGGTGGCTGCGTCCCTGCGGGAGACCGCGGCCCCCAGCTCTGCCGCCGCCAGCTCAACATGCGTCCTCTTGCGTGGCGCCTCACCCCGTGAGGTCGTGGTCCCCCCTTTGTACGTGAGCGCCGGGTTTGCGGCGGGCGGAGGGGGCAGTGCCCGCCAGCCACCGGGCCTCTTACCAGGACGTCAGACGGTGTCCCTGGAGCCCTGGCGGCCTTCTTCGTCTCCCTGGCCGGAGCGGCGTCACAAGGCCCGGCCGCTTTCCCAGCCTTCGGGGGGGCGGTAGTGGGCGCTGGACAGGCTGTAACCCCTACGTGGCAGGCGGGGCACAGTGTTTACCCAGCGTACAGACGAGGAGAGTCCCAGTGCCTCCCTCCAGTCGCCGTCCGCTCTGGCGAACTTTCTCCGCCGTCTTGGCGTCTTGGCGTCGGGGGCTCCCTGCACGCGGGCCCCTCATCCGTACTGCAGGCCTTTCCCCGCGGGACACCAGCCGCGTCCTTTCTCGGGAGCGATGGCCAACAGCGTCTCCAGATGCTGCTGAGTGTCCCCTGCAGGACACAAGCCGCGATCCAGGACGGAGCGCTAGGGACTCGGCCGAGCCCCCCGGGGCCTAGTGACAAGGCTCCCACGGGAGCCGGGAAGTCCCGTCCTCCTCTGGGCCTCGCCTGCCTTCTGCGCAGAGTCCTGCACTGCCCCTAGGGCTCTGGCGGATGGGGCCACGGTCACGCCCCCCGCCCCCAGGGCTGCACGCCCAGGGCAGCCAGATGCTGATCCCAGAAACCACACAGAACCCGCGTCCGGGGAGCAGGGCATGGAGGGAACAGGCAGCGGTGGGCAGAAGCGCCGCGTGAACCACGGCCACGGCCCGCTGATGTCACGAGTGCTGCTGGGGTGCCCAGGGGAGGAGGGGAGCAGGCCCCGCTCACCGCACCCCCTTGTCTCCCGCCTCTCCAGCCTCACCTGCCCGCTGATAAGGCCCGCGGCGGCCCCGGCCCCGAGCAGCAGCACCTGCTGACCACGGCGCCCAGCTCCAGCAGCAGCTCCCTGGAGAGCGCAGCCAGCTCCGGGGACGGGAGGGCGCCCCCCAGGGCCCAGCCGCCGGCACCAGGCACCGGGAAGGCCCATGGGTCTGGGGAGGCCCAGGCCAGCTCCAGCAGCTCAGGTGAGAGGTGGGAGCCCACCTGGCTCCATCCCCCACTCTGTGCGCCTCCTGGGCCTTGTAGACAAACCTGCCTTGTAGACAATCCCAGCTCGTCCTTGGAGTCCCCGATATCCAGGAAGGGGTTTTCCCGTGTGTTATGGTGTATAAGTGTTACGTGTCCTAACGTCACAGCATCATGATGCATTCTATAATGTTTATTATATAGCATCTGAATTATCTATTAAATACTACTATATAGTGTTATCTTAAAACCTATTGTATTTGACAGATGTGGACCTGGAGGCCCAGGGAGGCTCAGGAGCTCGTCCCGGGGCACACAGCTAGTCAGAGGCAGGAGATCCCCCTGGGCTCTCAGGATCCAGAGCCCTGGGGTGGAAAGCTGCGTGAATAGTGGTGTCTCCGGGGCTCCACTCGCTGTGGCCCGTCGCCCAGTCCCTTTGGGCCTGAGGCATCAGGGCTGTGGGGACCTCATGGGTTCTGGAGAAGCCCAGGCCCCATTTACACAATGTATTTTGCTCTGGACCTGGTCTGTGACAGGGTCACCCGTGGGGAGAAGCCTCAGTGCCCCCGTTGGAGGGAGGTCCTGCCCCCTTCCCAAAAGCCTGGGGCTCCCTTGGGTGTATTTTGCAGGGGCAGGTGAAGTCCACAGGCCTGCGTGTCCGTCTCCCACGCTGGCGGGAGGTCAGGGGACGGCAGTGGGTCGGGTCCTCCCCAGACGCCTCCCTGGCCGCTCTGGTGCCTTGGGAATCTGAACGGGCTCCTTAACCCTGCTGAGCCTCCGCTTCCTCGGCTGCGGATGAGCACGGCGTCCGGCTGGCGGGGCTGCGGCCTCTGCCTCCCTGCTGTCTGGTTCCGGGTCTGCGCCCTCCCCGGCTGCCTCACGCACTGAGGTGCCCACCCCGGGGGCGCCGGCCCCTCCCGCCCTCATCACTGGGATGCCTTGCCGGAGCCCCCGCCCCAGCCTGAGAGCTCCCCACGGAACGGGTGGCCCGTGGTCCTAAACCTTCACTGGATGAGCACCGGAGACTCCAAAGAGAAACTCCTGGCCTTTGAGTCTTGGAATCATCTTTCTGATTTCCTAGCGACATCTCTTCCACAGTCCTCCTGGTGTGGCCTCTGCTGTGGCCCGGAGGTGGACCCCGACTATGTCTCCCGCCCCTCCTACCCTCTGCCCCTGCTCTCTGTCCCCCCAAGCTCTCGGGCGTCACCTCTGCTCCTCCCCTCCTCCCGCCCCCGCATCTCTCGCTACCATGGGAACGTGCCATCGTGCCCACGTGTCGTCCCCCATCCGCCCCTGCAGCGTCTCAGTCACCGTGTGCAAAGGCCGTGGTGACCGAGTGACATTTGGATGCTGTGGTGGCTCAGGGTGGAAATTTCCTTCTGCCCCCTTAGAGCAGCCCTCCCTCCCCTGGCCTGTCTGGGGCTGTTCCGAGCAGAGCCGCTCCCAGCTCCCTCCTGCTTTCAGGCTCCCAGGAGCTGGAGACAGACACCCAGGCCGCCCGGGCGCCCCTGACAGCAGGCGTGGCTGGGTGCTTGGCCGGGCCCGCAGTAAGAGCAGGAGCAGCTCTCCTCGTAGGGGGGCGTGGTGCATGCAGCCCCTTACACCCAGCATCCAGCCCCCCCAGCTGGTGGGGACTCTCAAGGTCAATGTTTCAGCTCCACGAGGGAGTGATTTCCAAACCCTTCGGTGTTGACTTTACCGCAAGTGGACAAGGAGCCGGTGAGGGGTCTCACCTTTTCCTGGTTGGTGTGGCCAGGACTGCTGAGGCTGCCTGTGGTCCCGAAGGGGACTCCTCATAGTCCTTGTCCACTGCGTGACCCGGGTCTGTAATGCCCGCTTTCTGTCCGGCTCCCTTCTCTGACTCTGGTGGGGAGTAGGTTTTGTTCTTGGGCCCCTTCACCTGCTTTACGTAATGGGCTCCTCCCACCTGTGGGATGAGTTGCTGGGAAGTGACTTGCCCGAGGTCACACAGCAGAGCTGGGCGAGCACCGTGGCCTCTCGGCTCTTGGCCTGGCGCTCCGGACCCTTTTGTCTTAAACCTGCCTCCTGGGCAGCGGACAGGCCGCGGAGACCTCCTGCACCCCAAGACCCCCCGCTGACCGCCCTCTCCCGTCTCATGTTCGGCAGAGCCTTCGTGCGGCGGCCACGGGACCCAGGTCAACGTCACGTGCATCGTGAACGTGTGCAGCAGCAGCGGCTCCGACCACGGCCCTCAGTGCTCCTCCCAGGCCAGCCACACGACGGGGGACGTGGATGCCGGCCCCTCCAGCCCCCCAGATGACCAGCAGGTCCCCTTCTCCCAGGAGGAGTGCCCGTTTCAGTCCCAGCCAGGGGCTCTAGAGACTCTGCTGGAGAACCCAGAGGATAAGCCCCTGCCCCTTGGTGTGCCTGACGCTGGCATGAAGTCCAGTTAGCCAGACTGGCGTGAGCTTGTCACAGCCCAGGCGGGCTGTTCCTGGGCCTTCTAGGCCCCCACCCCCCAGGACTCTGGCTCTTTCTGGGCCAAATTCCTTTAGTGGCCCCACAGCCTCAGCCTTCCTCTCATCTGCTGGCAGAAGGGTGAGGCAGGGAGAATTGTGGGAAAGCGCTCCTGGCGTGGGTGCGTCCCTCTGGGAGGCTAGCTGGACGTGGACATGCCGGCCCGCCTGGAGCCAGCCCTTGCCACTCTGAGCGCCGCCCCCCCCCCCCAAGCTGGTCCTGCGAGTTCAGCTTCTAGAGCCCTTATTTTTGTAATTTTTTACTTTTTTAAAAAATCCCTGGGCTCTGTGCAGCCCTGGCTTCCTGGGAGGCCCCGCATCCTGCCTTCCATGGAGAAGGGGCAGTGCTTTAGCCTGATGCTGAGGCTACAGGACGGTCCCAGCATGGCGGGGGCGGGGGTGTCCTTGATCAGATGGTTCCGTGCAGGGAGGGGACGGGGGACCCCCGGTGCAGCTTGCACCACCTCCGGATCCGTGCCTGCCAGCCTTACCTCTTGCACACGGTGGGAAATCAGACACTCCGAGGGCCCAGCCAAGCGGCCGCGTGAGTGCTCCAGCTGGGGCCAGATGGCCAACCTCTAACCAGAAATCTTCCGGCAATTAAAAAAAAAGAAGAAAAAGAAAAGCACCATGCAGGCAGAGGAGCCAACAAAATGACCAAGCGGAAGTCAGAGTTCGCTGGTCTCTGCTTTGACCATCACGGATTCGCCTGCGGCTCCAGCCCCGCCTCCCGCCTCCCGCCTCCCGCCCCCCGCCCTCTGGTGCCGGCTTCCCCGAGGGAATTTCAGGAACGGGAGATGACTGAGGCCCACAGTCTCCCTCCTCCTACCTCAGCCCCCGCCTCCCGACGAGGCTCCTCTTGGCCTCAGCACCCCCACCTTGCTGGTCCTGGAGCCCCAAGGAACCTGCGGGGCCTCCGGGGTGCTCTGCCTGGGGTGCTCTGCCTGCCGGGGCCTCCTGGGGACGCGGTTCGCCGAGAGCCAGTCTTGTGTCTGTGTGTCTGTCGTGTGCTGTTGGTCTGTGGAGCCGTGTTGTTGGGTCGTCCGGCCGGCCCGAAGCAGCTGAAACCGGCAGTTCTGTCCCAGGATTCTTGCCCGTTAAAGGGTCAGCCCGCTTCCCCCAGACACGCACCCGGAGTCCTGCAGAGCACGGATGGATGGACGGACGGACGTGTGCGGCCTTGACCGAATTCTGGAAGGAACGGGGGTGGGGGGCTCCTGGACAAGCCAGCCGGGTCCCGGGTACTTGGATCCCTTGTTGAAAATTCCAGTGGCCTCGGGGCTGGACTTGGATCTGAGCTCCTGGACGGTAGGCGAGTCCAGCCAGTACCATGAAGAGAAAGAGCTTCCCAGAAACCAGGATTCCCTTGGAGTCCGACGTCCGGCTGCCCCTGCCCCTGCCCCTGCCCCTGCCCCTGCCCCTGCCCTGCCCGGGCCCTGCCCCCGGCCTCGAGGCGGTGGAGCGTGTCTGCCCCCTGGTGGGCCGCCCCGGGACGACCTCAGGCCCCGCTGCTCTCCCAGGGCAGCTCTGACCCCCAAGGAGACCCTCCCTGGGGGGCCGCGGTTCCCAGGCTTGTCGATCCCCGAGTTTGTACTGTATACTGGACAGCGCTCCTGCTTCTAAGTAAACCTTGTTTTGTACATCGACTCCTGGCTCTGGCTGTGCGTCTGAGCTGGGGCCCGTCCGTGGTCCGTGGTGCCACCGATGCGTAGGGGGCGGTGGAGTGGTGGCCGCTGGGCCTGGGACCCCCACGCTGCGCTTACTGAGAGCCCGGCCCTCTGCCCTCCGTCAGGCCCAGCACCTCCTGCCGGCCTCTGACTGCGCCCTCTGACTGCGCCCTGCCACTCGCTGTCATCAGCCTGTTTTGGGGTGAAGGGGGGTCTCTGCAGATCTGCTTGTTCACAGGCAGTGGGAGTGAAGCTCCATCCGGTGGCACCTACGAGGCCCATCGCGGGTGCTCAGGGCAGTGTGGGGTGCGGGGCAGCTCCAGGAGTACAGGGGGACCCGGGGCACAGCCTGGGGGGCCAGTGCTGGACTTGACCCTAGACCTGTTTCTGAGACTGGAGCCCTTTCCAGAACGAAAAGTGGGGAGGAGGTTGCAGGCAGAGAGACTTCAGGAGAAGGGTGGGGGGCGGGGGGTGGGGAGCCTGGCTGGCCTTGAATTCGCCAAGCCAACACCCCCCCCCCCCCATCAGGGTGGCCGCCTGGGCGTTGCCCTCTTCCTTCTGGGTGATTCCCTGGACCTCTTGCCCGCGGCCCTGCCTCCGCCCTCTCCATCCAGAGCAGGGAGCCGGGAGGGGAGAGCCGCTCGGATGCCCCTTGAGCTTCTATATTTCCTCTCCATTATTGCCCGAGGAGATAGGCGAGGTACCCACCACCCTGCCGGGCAGAGGAGGGCGCGGGGCAGGGCCTGAGGCGTGGTACTTCTCTAAGTCCAGCTTAGAGACTTAGAGGGCAGCCTGCCCGCGGGAGCCTCCCGATAACCAGCTCCTTAGACCTGCACGACAGAGCCACGCAGTCCGGGGTTAAAGGGCAAGCACTCTCTCCCCTCCCCCCTCCCTCCTCCTCCCTCCCTTTCCCCCTCCCTACCTCCTCCACTCTTCCTCCCTTCCCACTCCTTTCCCCTCCCTCCCTCTCCCTCCCTCTCCCTCCCCCCTTTCTCCCTCCCTCCCTGGACCCCTCTGCGGCAGAGCTGAGAGGCTTCCCCGGGGGCAAAGCTAACAGGGAGCTGGGGACTGTGTTCCAGCTTTCCAGGAACCCGCAGTGTGGACCTGAACCTCCGCGTCCCATCTGGAGCTCAGACCTTGCACCTGTAAGCCGAGAGGGTGGGCGTCTGAGCTGTCCCCAGCTGTCCTGAGCTGTCCGAGCTGTGGCGCTGTCTCCTTCCACAGGGCTGACCGTGTGCTCACGGGGGGGCTCTGGGCCTGCACCAGGGGCCCTCGCACCGAGCGCAGCCAGTGCTACCCGAGGCAGGATGCGGATTTTGAAGACCCAGCACAAAACAGATATAAAATATCTCATCAATCATTTTTGCATTGATGGCATATTGACATAACATTTCGCAATGTCACCTAGATAAAATATTAACATTAACTTTACCTGTTTCTTTTCACGCTAAGGTGGATACTAGAACATTTGGAATTACGCATGTGATTCTCGCACTATATTCCTATCAGAGAGTTAAATGCCTTCACAATTTGATGAAATGAGTTTGTGATTACAATTGCAACCCCGCCCCCCCACCCTTCCTGGGGGGCCTGAGTGGCTCAGCTGGTTGAGCATCTGACTGGATTTCAGCTCTGGTTGTGACCTTGGGGTAATGAGATTGAGCAGCCTCTGCACTGGGCATAGATTCTCTCTCCCTCCCCTCTGTCCCTCCCCCTGCCTCCTCCTGTGCTTTCTCTCTAAAAAGAAAAAAAATTGCAACACCTCCCCCTACCCCTGAGATCTCTACCTCCCCTCTGGGACTCTTAAAGCCCTTATCACTTGTTATGATATCTTATAATTTACATCTCTGTTACATTTATTGCTTACTGTCTGCTCCTCTTGCTAGAACGTAAGCTCCAGTGAGGCAGGGCTTTGCTATTTTGCTCAGTCATGTGGCACCAAGTACATAGAATAGTGCCAGGCTCATAGTAGGTGCTCAATAAACGGTGAATGAGTGAATGAATGTAGGCATAGGAAGTATGGGGGGGGTTCCACTGTCACCAAATCTTCCAATTTTTCTAGAAAGGCCCCAAATACAGATTCTCACGTATTATCTCCAGCTTTTAAAAAGATTTTAACAATTTATTTTGGAGGGAGTGCAAGCAGGGAAGAGAGGGAGAGGGAGAGAGGATCTCAAGCAGACTCCCTTAACTCCCACTTAGAGCCCATGTGTGGCTTGATCCAACCCCCCTAGAAAATGAGCTGAGGCAAAATCAAGAGTCCGACACCCAACTGACCGAGTCACCCAGGTGCCCCAATCTCCAGCCTTTTAAATGTTGTAATTCTAATTCTGTTACAGCAAGGTGTGGGCCAAAGGAAACATTTCTGTAGTGTCCAGTCCTCTCTGGTCTAGAGGATTCTGGGGGCTGATGCACACTAGGCCAGGTGAGAAAGGGCCTGATGGAGGGAGTCCTGAGGAGGCCCCTCAAATCTAGCCTGTCCCAGAAAACTTGCCCCTTGTGGGCCAAGGTGCATCTAAGGGTCCAGCGTGGGTGGCGATTAAGGGACATCCCCCACCTCGTGTGCCCCTCACCAGTGGGGTGTCTGTGGCCGGTAGATGCTCCCATGCTGTGACCGCTGCATCTACCGAGGCTCAATCCTGGGACTGAATCCTGAATCGGGCTCCCAACTCAGTGAGGAGCCTGCTTATCCCTCTCCCCTTCCCCCTGCTCATGCCCTCTCTCTCTCTAATTAAACAACAACAACAAAAAAACCTTTAAAGTTTTTGACTGCTATGAATAAAGCTGCATTCCTGTACGTCTTTGCAGACACATGTGATTCCATTTCTCTCGGGTAGATATTTAGTAGGAGGATGGCTGTCTGGTCCGTGTGCCTTCCGAGGGATTCCAAAGTGAGGGCCCAAAGACTTTTCAGTAGTACTAGTTGATTGAATGGTGTCCTGGCATCTGCATTTTTTTTAAGATTTTATTTATTATTTATTCAAGATAGATATATATAGAGAGAGATGCAAAGACACAGGCAGAGGGAGAGGCAGGCTCCATGCCGGGAGCCCGATGTGGGACTCAATCCCAGGACCCGGGATCACGCCCTGGGCCAAAGGCAGGCGCCAAACCGCTGACCTACCCAGGGACCCCCTGGCATCTGCATTTTTTATTTATTTATTTTTTATTTTTTTATTTTTTTATTTTTTAAATTTATTTATGATAGCTACAGAGAGAGAGAGAGAGAGAGAGAGAGGCAGAGACACAGGCAGAGGGAGAAGCAGGCTCCATGCACCGGGAGCCCGACGTGGGTATCAATCCTGGGTCTCCAGGATTGCGCCCTGGGCCAAAGGCAGGCGCCAAACCGCTGACCTACCCAGGGACCCCCTGGCATCTGCATTTTTAATAAACTCCCCAGCTACAGCCGAGGGTTCCTGTGCTAGAAGATCTGGACTCAGATCCTTCGGCTCTAATGGGCTGCTTCCCTTCTGCCTCCCATCTGCAGAGTCTGAGGTTTCACACCCAAACCTCATCCCCCGAGGGGACCCAGCGTTGAGATTCTGATAGGCTGTTCCCACCCCTGAGGAGCTCAGGCCTCGCCAGGAACGTTCAGCCCGCAGTCGCCTTCGTTAGCTCAGCATTATGAGGGTTGATAATTATGATGGTTAATACCCTACTGCAACCTTGCCCTTAGGCCTCCTGCATCTTCTGACTTTTATGAGCTGAGGTCTTCCTGTCCTTGTGGGGCTGATGCAAGATGACGGGTTCATTTGTCCATTTATTCCTTCGTTCACCTACAGCACCTTTAACCGGGCCTTTTCTGTGCGAGGCAATGGCTCGCTGCTAGAGGGGCATTCGTGGAAGGGAAAATCAGTGCTTTCAGGGTGCAGAAAGGTGATGATGAGTAGGAACAAGATAATTTCAAGTGCCATTAAGTCCTGTATATGAGGAAATACAACAGGGTGATGGTTGAAGGGAACCTTAGGTAAGAGCCGGGAAATGCTCTGGGAGGTGGAATGCGGCTGTAGGACCCTCTGGCTATAGGACCATCCAGCTATAGGACCATGTGAGGGGCCCCCCCCCCCCCCCCCCGCAGCCTGCAGCCGCTGGAGGAAGGCTGGGAGCCCTTCAGCTGTGGCTGGTTTGTATGGAGAAGTGCCGCACGTGTAAAGGGCACGCTAAATTCCAAAAACTTACTATAAAAAATCCCCCTAAAATACCGCATGGTTTCTTTCTTTCTTTTTTTTTTTTTTTCCTGTCGGCTTCCAGGTTGATATGGTCATATTCTGGACATACTGAATTATGTGAAATACATGATTTTCCCTTTTTTTCTTTTAAAAAATGTACAAAGTAGTAAATTAAAAACTACGATGTGGCTTGTCTGTGTGGCTTGGACAACAGATGTGGGGGGAAGGCATCCTAAGGAGAGAGACTGGGGGACGGACGGGGTCCTGGGCGGAACCGAGGGATTGGGGGGTGCAGGGGCCCGGAGGAGGACTGGGGGCGGGGCGGGAGGAGGACTGGGGGCGGGGCCCGAGGAGGATGGGGGCGGGGCCCGAGGAGGATGGGGGCGGGGCCCGAGGAGGATGGGGGCGCGGGGGCGGGAGGAGGGCTGGGGGCGGGGGGCGGGAGGAGGGCTGGGGGGCGGGGTGCGGGGGCCCGGGGGGGCACTGGGGGGCGGGGGGCCCGAGGAAGATTGGGGTGCGGGGGCCCGAGGAGGACTGGCAGACGCGGGAACGGACCAGCGCGGCGGGAGCCTGGGGGTCGGCTCTCCAAGGTTTAATTCAGGTGTAAGGCGGAGCTGCTTTAAGCGAGGAAGTGGCTCGGGCTCAGGAGTTGTAGCCGAGCCCTGGGCGCCGACCCCCGCGGATTCCGGCGCCTGCTCCCCGGCCGGCCTCGGCCCCCTGCCCCCTCCCCGGGCTCCCTGCGCCCCCCCTCCACCCCCCAGCACGCTCCCCCGCCCCTGTCTCCCTCCTCCCCCCCGCCCCTCCCTCCGT